ACATTCAGTGGAAATGAAAGTTTATTTAAAAACTTTTTTAGCAGATTCAGAATAATATCTGTAGTATAGCATTAATTGTTTCCAGAGCTACAGTAGCATAGAGACTTCCCAGGTTTCCCTCCCCTCTTTATGAGAATGCTGAACGAGGATTGCTCAGTTACCACTCAGAAGGACTCTTCAAAAAATGTAAAAAAAAAAAAAAAACAGTTCCCCATCTCAGTCCCCTTGTGACCTGTTCATTGAGGAAAAAAAAAAACAGGAAGTATTGGCCATTCTACAATCTGTCAAACCTAAAACAGGACAATGTAAAAGAGAAAGTGAAATATTTCCCTGTCCTTATGGTGAACCACACACAGTCAAACATTGTCTATGGTACTTTGTCTCTAACCCAGAAGAGTAAAGTGTGTTTCATTTAGGAAGAAGTGGGAGCTAAGAGACAATACAGTAGAAATAGGACTGATACCAGGAAAGATGCAGCTGACTCTCTTCATAGGGTATAGGAAGATAACTTACCACATCTGAACTCTAATTTGGAGTACATAGGAACTATATTTTAGTGTTCTATCCCCTGAACATGATCATGTTCTATCCCACGAACATGTTCTATCTCCCTGTAATAACTCATTCTGGTTTTCCCTGTGATCCTGAAGAAATGTTTAAATTTATTATGGCAAACAGACATTGAACATGTAGGTGAAGCTTGCATTTATATGAGGGTAGTTTGGGATTTCTAAAATGAGCACCATTTGTGTGGTCTGGCTGTGGAACTGCTTGGCATTTCACAAAGTGCATTAACCCTGAAGTGTTTTGCCATCTATCATATGGGTCAGATGCAGCACCATTGGGGTTTTGAATGCTTTCTACAGCTACTGGCACTTAGGAGCAGTACAGCAGGTTCCTTTCCCACATGAAAGGAATATCCAGTCTCTGCAGCAGTGATATGACTTGTGTGATGAAGTGCTCTGTACTTCCTGTAATTCCTAAGTGAAACCGGTGCCTCAACCAACGATGAGTAATATTAGACTCATTTTTTTATATGTGAAAAAAATTATGTCAGTAGCTCTCTGTGGTTATTTTTGTGCTGGAGGCAAAATCTCCTCAATATGCAGAAGGGCACAAGCAAGTATGGGAAATTTTATGCCTTCAACTAAGTCACTGGTAGTTAGTGGACAACATAAACACATATACTCTGCGAGGTTATGGCCAGGATAGGATAGACGGAAACTCCATTCTCTGATTATTCATGGTGGCACCTTTTCCCAAAAACTTGTAAATGGAGAAAAATTGTTAATATGGAATATTTGCCAAAAATAAGTAATGAATAACAAAAAACAAGTGTTAAACCCTATTAAAATAGTAGTACAAATCAATATAAGTAAGATCTGTGCATTTTTTAAACTGACAAGAAATTAGTAATGGAAAATTAGAAGAACTGTAGTGAATATAAATAAAGTTCAATCATTCTTGCTTGCAGATGATGTATGAACATATAAACTTTTAAAAATATATTCATATTTCATTAACTCTCTCATGTGTGCACATAACTGAATATAAAAAATCATGATGATATTCGACCTGGTTATATGTAAAGAAAAACATAGATGGTGTTACCATACTCTGCCTTATATTTTGATAGCTTTTACTGTTTAATGTGTTTTATCCTGTTTTGAACACCGGTGATTCAAATGGCATTTAGCTACGCATTGTCTAATTCCTATAATACAATATTTTATGTTTTTATATCTGATATAAATCATTGTCTAACTTCTAAAATGTGTTTTGGAGATTTAAGGATATGAAACCAGATACGTTAGGTTCCAGTACCAGGATTTTCCAGTGTGTTCCCCAGAAGGACCTTCTGGGTAAGACTCTAGGAAACTTAATCCTGAGTAACAAGCTAAAGAGTGATAAGAAACAATCTGATTTGTTTTAGGAAAGTCAAAAATAAAGCCAACTTTTAATATTTTTTTTTGCTTGAAAGAGAATGAAATGTGAGCTAGTATTGTATCTTTGTATTCCAGGAAAAAATTGTGCATTGTAAAAGTATCTGCCTATTATATATAGGGAGCACTGTGTTCTTTTCTTGTCTTTTACAGATTCAGTTTTATACCTGTTCCCTTTTCTAAAGCAGTGATATTTCAAAAACCACTAAGAAACATTAATGATCAATGACATATTGCCAATCACAAAAAGTTGACAATGTTTATCATACAACAATGCAGCACACTGTTGTTGTTTTTTCACTACCGGGTTTCTCTGTAGCTTTGGAAATAGTCCTGGAAGTCGCTCTTGTCGACCAGACTGGCCCCAACTTACAGGGATCTGCCTGCCTCTGCCTCCTTACTGCAGGGATTCAAGGTGGGTGCCACCAATCCTGTCTACAATACAGCACTCTGATTGCCATGGTATTCCTGGATCAATCCAGCACTCTGGTTGTCATGGTTATCCTGAATGTCCTAAAAAGACTTGTTGTCAGTCTTAGTACATGAGTTATTAATTATTTTCCTTTGTGAAACACTTCATTTTTGAGGAAAACATATGCAGGTACTATATTCTCATCATATTTAGGATCATTTCTGTTTCCTTCAACTCCTGCTTTGCCCCTCTACCATATCACCATGCCACTGAGTTCTATTTTTGATGCATGTTATATACACGTGCTTAGGGCTGACAATGGAGTATTGCATATTAGATCAGGGAGGTCATACTGGAGAAACCTGGCACTCGCATCTTGACAGCCATTGATTGCCCAAAGTTTAGGACTTTGTGAAATTTTGCCCATCTATGTTGGCAGGTCAAATGAGGCAATGATTACGCAAGTCTTTTTCAGGCAATCACAATGGTGAGATTTCATGGAATTTATTATCCCTATGATATATATATCACCATTTTCTATTAGGCACCCTGGTCCCCTGGCTCTTATTCTCTTCTGATATCTTTTCCAAAATGTTTCCATTGCCTTTTATTTAGAAGTTGTGCTGTTCTAAGTGTACTTACTGGGTTTGGGAATCTAATGATCATTTATTCTCTTCCTTTTTGACCAGCTGAAGTTCTCTGCAATATTCACCACTTGCTGCATTAAAAGATTTTTGATGAGTTGTGAGAGCTTCAGTTACCTGTGATTATAATGATAAAGCTAGTAATAAAGTAAGATATTATACTTGTTTTGGAAAACAGCAGTAGGAGGCTCTACTTCTGGGATCTGTGATTTCTCCAGTCATGGACAGCTGACTCACTTTACAGAACCACTGGCCTCAAATCCAATTAGAGTTAGATTTATCTTGATTACACCTAAGATAAAAGTGTCACAATTTTGCTATTATGGATATCTTGCCATGGTGGTCATTGTTACAAGCCATAGGTCTGACAACTAATAGGACTACTGATTACATTTCTCCCTAGAGATCTTATGGAACCTCTTCAAATACTACGTAAATCCTCAGAGAGGAACTTTCTAGATCACTTGCTTCTCAATTGCTCTAGGTCCTAAGTATGAAGTGTATAATGCCTTCAGACATCTTATCTTCAAGATCTGGAAAGCAATCAAGGACAATGACAAGAATCTATATTTTTGGTAGGAATCAAGGACACCCCGACCCCACCAGACCAACAAATGAAAGTGAAGTTTTCCATTCCTTGCACTGGACATTTTGATAACAGTCTATGATTCCTGAGGCTAACAACATCCCTACATTTAACAAAACCTCTTCCAACCCGATGGACACAAGAGTATGCATGAGTATGAATGTATTCTTAAGAAAGCCTATATGACAGTGTTTCCCTACTGATTCTTCTAGTGACTTTGGTTCCATTTGGTACACTGGGGAAGAGGTAATGGAAACAAAAGAAAATGAAAGAAATGGATGACACTAAATCATGAACTCTTTAAGTTGATGAATTAAAACAAACATGATATTCTTAAACACTTAAGTTCTTTCCACAATGTACTCTGTGTGTTCAATTGAAAACCCCTTCTCTTTGTTTCAGTGTCATCATGTGCCACATCTGTCATTCATTCATAACTCCACTAATTCTCCTGTAAACCCTAGCATCACATTTAAAAGAACAAAAGGTGCAGCTCTCTCAGTTACACTACTTTGACTTCATGATTCTTGATGTGTGGCTTTAAAACAATTTAAATAATTCAATATAATTTTCAATGTTAAAAATACCCTGATCCTATGATCACTTGATTACAGATATTTACTTAAATCTAAGAGCTTGAATTAGTATATTTTTTGTTGTTCTTCTGATCCTAGGTCATCCAAAAACTAAAGTCACATGTCAAATTCAAGAATCTGCATGTGCAATCTTACAGAAACTGATGACCTCAGGAATTTTGGTCATAGCATTGAGAGGAAGGAAGGTAGATGCATGCACTCATCTACCTTTTAGAGCCTTTGGGGACTAGATTCTGATAACCAATTATTCAACTACTTCTTGGACTTATGAAAAACGATTGGACATGTAAGATGAACAAACTGACTGCTTTAGCAGATAATATCACTCAGGGTAGTCTATCAACTGTGAGTCAAACAACTCAATTGCTAGTCTTATATTACCCCAGGGACATGTATAAGAACAGGATCTTGTCTATCTTCTCCAAGGACTTCAGTCAACAGAGTTTGTTAGGTGCATTACCAAGCTATTTGAGAAATTATACATAAGTAAAAATGTTCATTAAATTCTTTTGAAAATTTCTTTAAAATGATATCAATAAAATACTAATAAGCTGTACAATTAATACATCTTTGGTTCTGTTTTGAGAAGAAATTTCTGACTATCCTCTAACTAACCAATGTTCTTGCTACTCTTCCAATATCTTAGAAACAGAACAGTTATGCAACCAGGTCATTGACTCCTGAATTTGCATCATTACAAAACATTTGTCATTAAACATTGACATGCAAATATGAATATTTAATATTTGCTTTTACTGTCTCCATTAGAACATCAGTTCAATGTGGTCATTTAGTGCCTTTGCCTTGATCAACTCCAGTTATATTTTAACTCAAGGCTTTTTCTTCTTAGATATCAGGATAAGCTATGACACAGGGGACACACTCTGAACAGAAGACTTTGATGACTCAGGATGACTGTGAAGTGGATGTCTGTTCTGCTGATCCTGCAAATGGGTTGTTACTTAAGATCTGGGAACTGTGGGAAGGTGTTGGTATGGCCAATGGAATACAGTCACTGGATGAATCTAAAGACAATACTGGATGAACTTGTACAGAGGGGACATGAAGTGACAGTTCTGAGACCTTCAGCTTCTATCTTCCTTGATCCCCAAAAGTCACCTGGTCTGAAATTTGAGAGTTTTCCTACGTCTATCAGTAAAGATGATCTAGACAAGGTTTTTACAAAGGCTGTGGATGTATGGACTAATGAAGTACCAAGAGAATTGTGTTTATCCTTCTCTCCTTTGCTACAAAACCTGTTTGAGGAATATTCTAATAGCTATCTAAAGATTTGCAAAGACACTGTTTCAAACAAACAACTTATGACAAAACTACAGGGATCCAAGTTTGATGTCCTTTTTTCAGATCCCATTGCTCCCTGTGGGGAGCTAATAGCTCAACTTCTCCAGATCCCTTTTCTGTACAGTCTTCGCGCCTCTTCTGGCTATACAATGGAAAAGTTCAGTGGAAGATTTCTATTCCCTCCCTCTTATGTACCTGTAATTATGTCAGGACTAGGTGGTCAAATGACATTCATGGAGAGGGTAAAAAATATGATGTGTATGCTGTATTTTGATTTTTGGTTGCAGATGTTTAACGAGAAGAAATGGAGTCAGTTTTACAGTGAAACATTGGGTAAGTTTTGTTTCTCCTCAGTAGCTCAATGACTTAAATTTCAAAAGTATTTAAATCTATAGTCATGTTCATGAAGTGCAAAATGAATTTGCCTTTTATAGGTGATCAAATGTAATATGATATTAGTTACCAAATGCACTGTAAAAGCTTACATTATTGATTAAAGAGAAGCAGACATCAGACCTCATATAGGACATTCTGCTGAGATACAGAGCTGCAAAGAGAAGCAAGTAGACTTTTCTTAAGTGGTCCTTTACTCATTTTGCTGTAATTTTTAATCTATTTTAATAAGTCACTATCTAGTTAAGCAAATTATAATTAATGTATATTAAGGAATGAATTGTTTTACACTTTCAATAAGTATATAAAATTGAAATTATTTTCTCTTGCATAGGCAACTCTCTTTATTTAACACTAAACTGTGGGGTCTGAAAATATAACCAAAATGTTCAGAGTTTCTTTCTGTTCATTTTGAGTACCTGAGTTCTGTTCCTAGCACCCACCCAGTCCAGTGTCTCAAAATTGCCTGTAATTTCTGCTTCATGGGACCTGTTGCCCTTTTATGATATCTGCCGATTCCTGAATAAACTTACTATATATTTCCTCAGACAAACATGTACATAAATAAAAATATAAATTATAAAATATTTTCTCTGTATTTCGTAAGGAATTCTTTACTCTTATAGATACTATGTTAGTTCCAAGACTTAAAAGTGGAACTGAGGTTTCTACTAACACCATATTTTTTATTGTATACTTTCCTAACATCCAACTTTTAAACACTACAGAAGCATGAATACACACATACAAGGTCTGTATATTTTGATGTCTGATTTTTTTCCTCTTAAAAAATATTTCATAGCTTAGATTGGCCAAAATGTCTATTCTCATAATTTCTGAAAATATTGTGATTGTTTTTGTAAGATAAGCACCATTAAATTTCTTAATATGATACAAATGTAGAAGCACTAACCAAGAAATTCTACAATTCATAAACTTTATAGCTCCTTTAGCAAAACAAGGAAGAAGGAATGGGTACAAACTACAAGGATCCGGGGGAAGTCTGGCCATGGACTTTTGACTCTGGAATGTGTGTTTATATTTGCATTGTTCCTTTTAAAGATGCAGAGAGGAGTAAAATGTGTGCTCTTTAAATAGTGGCTTAGGAGGTATTACAAAAACTATTTCAAGTTAATGTAGAAACATTAGTTAATTCTTACAGTTTGGTTTAAAAAAAGCCCAAACTGGCATTTTTGCATATTATGTGAGCAACAAATCATTACGCTGTAAATTATGTGGCATATCAATAAACACTGGTTTTTAAATGCACATGTTCCATATCAAGCATATTTTCTTCCATCATTTAAGGAAATATGTTTTATATTCAAATGACAATCATTCAACTTTTCTCCTTCTCACTTGCTCATTTCTCCTTCTAGGAAGGCCCACTACCTTAACTGAGACAATAGGCAAAGCAGAAATGTGGCTCATTCGATCCTACTGGGATTTGGAGTTTCCTCGCCCAACGTTACCAAACGCTGACTATGTTGGAGGTCTCCACTGCAAACCTGCTAAACCCTTGCCAAAGGTAAATACATTCTTTAGATCTCTTTCTTATTTGATTTCCTTTCTGGTGAACGTGATTCTACAGCTTTCATTAGATTTTTCTCCCAGGGATAGAGATTTATAGGAAGTTGACTTAAGCATCCTACTAAGTAGGAGGTCAATAAACTCAGGAAAGAATGTGATAGACCTGGGAAATATTCCAATCAATGAATTAAATATGGTCAGTTAGAGTACTTAGGTGGTTAGCAATTGGATAAAGTCCTTTCCTAGCAATTATGAAGACACATGTTTGAATCACAACATCCAGGTAAAAAGCTGGGTGTCCCAGCACAGAGCAATGACTTTAGCACTGAGGTTGCAGACACAAGTTGATACTGGGAGCTTGGGGCCACTAGTCTGTTAAAAAATGATAGGATTTGTGTTCAATGGGAAACAGCCTCAAATCCTGTGTTGAAGATCATTAGAGGAAGACATTACATTTTTACTTTTGGCATCTATGTGCTTAACAAAGCCAAGGAATCTCCCTAGCAACCCCGACACACACACTTTCATACCCACACGTATAAGCACACATATGGGCAGAGACACATAAACACACATACACAAACACACACATTACACCCACGTATACACAAACACACATGCACAAACAAGCAAACACACATATAAACCCATGACCAACGACACAGAAATTAAGTCTGTTAGACTCATCAATCAAAAACTGCTCATCACCCAAAGTTATGATTAACATATCCTAAGGAATTGTTTAATATCCGAACAAATAGATCAGACATAATTCTCTCCAACCAGCATATTTATATGTTAGCTTTGAAAATACCCTATTCATACACAATATCAGAATTTTTTTGTATATTTTTATCATGCAGTTATGATTATTTCACAGATTCAAACCATTGTATTAATCATGAAGGAAGTTTGTAAAAATTACCACAATGTACATAGTATAACTGAAATATTATTTTATCAAGCACTAGTTAATAATATCAAATCAGCCATTATATAAGTAAAAGAAAATAGCAAGGGAAAAAATAACAACCATTTCTGTAAGCAGAAACTTTGTAAATGAAACGACAATTTTTGAATGCTTATAGAATATGCTTACATTTTTGAGTTTTAATTTTGCCAGAGAAAAATATTTAGAATATCTGTTGGACAATGTGTGAGGATAGTTTGTGTGGATGATTACGAAGTTCAAAGTCTTTGCTATTGACATGTTGACCTTTTCTATGTTTTAACATCACTATACTAAATATTCTTATAAACACTTCGGTTTTTATTCTCCTAGTTCTTCCATTAATGTTTCATAAGTGATTATTCTACAACTGTATTTTGTCATGAAGAAAATTCTCTTCACAGGAAATGGAAGACTTTGTCCAGACCGCTGGAGAGCATGGTGTCGTGGTGTTTTCTCTGGGGTCAATGGTCAGCAACATGTCAGAAGACAAAGCCAATGAAATCGCATGGGCCCTTGCCCAGATTCCACAAAAGGTGAGGGGAAGTATTCCATGGAAGGTGACTCTATACTAAGTCTGTGAACGTCCTTGAAAGGTCTGATTATAGAAATGATTGTGTGAAAGGTAAAGTTTTAAGGAAGCTCTAATTTTCCTTAGTCAAACAGATATCCATAACAGATGTTTCAATACTGCAGAAGGTGTTTTTGACTGAGAGTGAGTTGGATATAAACACAGTGATCAATATGGGCACATTCTGAAATTCTGGCATGATGATGACATTGCAATCAAGGGTGTGTAGACATAGCCAAATTCTTCCGTGTCACTTGTTCTATTTGTTCATTACTTAAAGTCACTGCAAACATTAGATTTTCAGGGGTGAGTTAATTTGTATCTAGTATTTCTACTAGAACAACAGTAAGCAGGTGTTGAAAAAGTTTGAAATGCAGCATGACTCTGAATCCTAATTTTGAAGTAGGCCTCTTCAGTGATCAGTTGAAAGGGCCATTTAAAGGAGGGGAGCCTAGGCTCACCAACTGTCAAACAAAGTAAATTTTTGGCTAATTGAAAGAAAATGCAATAAAGGAAAAAAGATCTACTTTTTTTGTTTGGCCTGCCAGTATTTGTAGGAGAAATATCCAAAGGAAAAATAGAAACGGGTGCTTCCCTCATGGTGATGTCTGCATCATAAAAGATGAAACTCACCTCTCTGCTCTTAACCAGTCAGAGTGAAAGTCCTAATACACAAGGAAGAAATAGAGAGCTTGTGTCTATGACACTACACAATATACAAATGCCTCTTTTAATTTAAAATCAAATAATTAGAATTCTTCTGTTACCACATAGGTTATGTTAGCCAGGAGGGTCCCACGGGTAGGGAATGAAGGGTGAAGGGAAAACCAGGCAGCCAGGTCAACTTTGCAATATTAAATAGGACCTTAGCAATTTGTCCGAAGTTTGAAACTAACTAATCAAAGCCCACCCAAGGGAAAGACTCCCTCACAGGCTCTAAATTATTTGCTGCATAGTATTGACACATAATAGGGGATTTTGTTCTATCTTGGGTTAATACAATCCATTAATATCAAAATGAGATCCTTTATCGTTGAATGAAGGAACAGAAAAGCTAAAATGCATCTTATTATGGGGATGAATGTGTATAGTAAAAACTATTTTTTACAAATGTAAAACTATTAAAGGCCACTAATAGCTGTCTTTAGGTAAACCAGCTTGTAAAGCTCCCATTGGCCACATAGTGGCATTAAAATTTCATAGTTCAGAGCTCCAGACAGTAAGAACCTTTATGTTCAAGCTGTAGCAATGCTTCTCTTCTTTCCGAGCTGAGGAAACGGGCTGATTGTGGAGGAAGGAGAGCGTTGCCATCGCTTTGCCTGTAACACTTGCCCTTACGTGCATAATATCACATGCAAGGTAAAAAACCGAAAGTATCCAAAGCTGAAAGAAGTGGATGATGTGCTTGGTGGAGCAGCTGTCTGGGAGAACGTGGACTCTACTGCAGAGCCGTGTCCAAAATGTGAACATCCCCGTGCCTATTTCATGCAGCTTCAGACCCGTTCTGCAGATGAGACAATGATCACCTTCTCCAAGTGCCACAATGCTCAGTGAGGACATCACTGGAGAGACTAAGGGCAGGACTTACTCAGCTGCAGCCCTGAATTTTGTGTGCTGAAGGTCTTTGCTGTGTGATAGGAAGCTAACTCTTCTGTGGTGGAGGACCAGGGTGAAACAGGTCATCTGCAGGTCAGCAGATAAAGACCTTAAGGCACAGGGGCCTCCGTTCCTTGGGAAATTCACATGAGGATATTCACGTGGCTTCAGGTTCTATTCTATTCCTTCATTTTTTGTATTGATATAGTGGGTACTACCATTAGAACTAGAAACTTGGTTTATAGCCAAGGATAATCTTGAACCCTATCCTTCTTGCCTCTGTCTCAGAAGTATTAGAATTATAGGCATGTGAACTATGTCCATTCTACGCAATGCTGGGGATTGAATTCAGCCTCATGCATGCAGACAAGTACAGATAAGTAACTCAGTCATCTGAGCTAGATCTTCAGCCATTTAATCTTTAAGATAATTTTTGTTTTTTTCTCTCTAGAACAATTATAAAAATATCCATAAAATCATTAAAAAACACTTTAAAATTCAGGATTGACATGATACAGCTTCTATGATTAATAACTAAACAAACCTATGTTATTTGAATTTTCTGAATAATGTTTATAGAAATTTAAAGTAACCAAAAATATTTTCTATTTCCAGCTAGGGAGAAAGGGCCACAATAGAGCCTATGCCTAACACTTACAAAAGTCTGTTTTTGAACCACATTCAAAAACCTATTAAAAACCTCAATAAATTTTAACAAAATTTCATAAGTCAATCAATCATCTACATTTACCAGAGTATTTTTTAATTACAAAACCAGGAGAACTCCAGAGAGAAGGGGGACTCCATGTGTCTGCTTTTCACTGTTCTCTGATGACCTTGTGAATATCCTGTATCTTTTCCTTAGAAATCAGCCATCGAGATGTCTAGATAGGGTCAATAGGTATTTATATAATTTATGACTCCTATGAAATGTTAAGTCATACTTATGTCCCCATGTCTTTGGAAATATAGGCCCCATAATCTCTTGCATCTGTTTTCCTAGTGTTTTTCATTTTTGACAACTTAAACTTTCATTAGAATTTTGATTGTGGAGAATGGGTATCATTAGATGTGGGAATATAGATCTCTGCATGAGTCTCTTGTAGAAAGCCTCTTTACCAAAATTAATCAGAATATGAGTAACACAAGGCTGGAGGATTTTCTTTATGTCTTGTAATTTTGAAGATGATTCTGTTTCATCTTTTAGAACTCATAGTTTCCAACTTAATTAGGGTTGAATTTACCCCCCATAACAAGTCATCCAGGTGCCCATTATTCTATGGTTATAATAGAAACATCAGTCTCATCATAGCTAAATAATACTGTAAACATTTTTTCATTTACTTTTAAGTCCAATGATGGTTTATCATTTTCCTTTAGTAAGGCTCTTAAATCTACATAGTCTTACTTGTATTGAGTCCTTGCTCACAAACCATGTTTATTTGTGAAAGGCTTTATAGACATTAGTAAAAACTGCAATTTTCCTTCTGGTTAAAGGACCAATTTGTAGGCACTGTATTCATGACTGCAGTTTCCCCTGTTAAATCTTCATCACTGATTCTGTATGAACTATGATTGCATTCATGGATAAACTACTGAAACCCAATAAAAGTCCAACTCTTTGAGGCATTATAAATCGCCAATATTCTGTGTGTAACCTTAAAGGACATTGAAGAGAGGAAGCAGCAATACGTAAGGGTGAGGACTCCCAATAGCAGCACTTCCTTGAATGACATCTTGGAAAAAAAAGACTAGTTTGATTATAATCTGAAGTCTGACATCAATGTTGTTATTTATGCCTTAAAAGCCTCTAATTTTGTGGATTCCTTAGGAGACCCCTAAACATATTTTCCTACTGTTAACTAGTATTGTTTTTGTTTCCAGGCAATGTATTCCCATCCTTATCAAATCTGTTTCAACATTTCTTAACCCAATGTTTTCTTTCCTTGCATATAGTGTAAAACCTGGAACTCATTGAATCTGAACATACAATTGTAGGAGCAATTTACATTGCTTCTTCAAGTAGTCACTTTGCTAACATCTATTTTTGTAATGCATAAATGTTTATATCAGCTAATTTTGCTCTTTGATTGTAGATCCCTATATTCTAAAGTTAATTAACTTCGGAAAATCCAGAACATTTTCTATCTCTCTTTGAAGCATGATTAATCCTTGGCAATCTTTATCAACGTTTTCAAAAGCTAAGTGTTTTAATAATAACGCTCGATTTTTTCCCCTTCTGCTAAATTTTTAATAGCATCTTTGAGTTTCTCTATGAAAACAGCCATAAGGCAGAGAGGAACTTTCCATTTTTACTACTTTCTTAGGCCTGATCAGATTCCATTTCAGCTAAATCTAGGAGGCCATAGCTACATCTCTAATGTGGGAGAAGCTGTCAAAAGCATATTATGCACCTGATAATCTATTGATACCAATCTACCAATCTCTGTCAGCATTTCATATGTGATATTTAGGATTACCCCAGTCCTTGCATTTGAACTTTTTATGGGCTTTCTCTGCAAATCACACTTGCCACTGAAGAAGTCTGAAAGGGTTAAGAAACATTTTAGCAAATATATGGAAATCATACAGCAACCGTAGTGCATTATTGTTCCAACCAAAAAGATTCATAACGTCATGAAGCAGTAGATCCACAGAAAGAGCAAGCCTTCCAAAAATCCTTCATTTTATCCATGTGTAGCCCATGCTAAACACTTTTATTTTGTTGAAATTACACTGAAACACCAAGCTGAGCTCATGAGGTCAAGGAATTGGTAAATTAATTCCTTTTCCTCTCATGCCATAGCTTGTCAAGGTTGTAAACTTAAGCTTTTTCATAAATTCTCAGAAATCCTCATCAAAAAGTAGAAAGAATGCAAGGTTAGGTTGAATATCAGATTACTTACCCTATGCATCAGGAGTGTCTTTAGAGAATACAGGAAACATTTTTAAAGGAGACTCCAAAAATTGAGCTGAAGGAGCCATCACCCGCATAGTTGACAGTGGTGCTGTATTTACTTTGATATTACCTACAATGGGAAATTTTTCTCAATTTTCCTTCTTTCCTAATTTTATGATGTTATCAGCAAGTTTATATTTATGCAAGGAATTAGTCATTTCTTCCTCTTGATTAATAACCTCCTTATCTTCATTTAGTATTTTATAATAATTCAAATGAATGCCTAAGTGACCCAAATTAAATGGGGATATCTTCCCCTTATTTATATGCTTTTCCAATATTCATTCAACTGTGCGAGATATTTCTTCATCTAAAGCACTTTCTCCTGGAAACTTGGGGTTATAATCATAAGCAATAGTTAACTCTAATCAGAGAATCAGACAATGTACAATTTGAGGGTTTAGAAAGGTCATATGATCAAGAATCACATGAGTGGAAGTTGTATACAATCAGTATGACAAGCCTGTGTGACAAAAAAAAAAGTTTTTCCATAGAGTCTTGTTTAGGATTTTATTGCTATGTAGAGACAACATGATCATGGCATCTGTAATAAAAAATGCACTTAAATGTGGTAGCTCATTTAACCATTATCATTATAAAGGGAAGTATGGTACTATGCAAGCAAACATGGTGCTGAACCTGAGCATGCTACATTTTGCAGAGAAAAAGGAAGTCCCAAGTTTGAATTTAACAAAGATAATCCTGAGGATCTGCCTCTTTCACAGGCTCTAAAACCTTTCCTGCATAGTATTGACACATAATAGGGAATTATGTCATGCCTTGAAAGTAATAAATTGCAGATATCAGAGTTCAGTTTCTTATGAATAAACGAAGACAGAAAAAACCCAAAATGTACCTTATTATCAGAATGAATATGTATAGTATAAAAGCAATCTTTTAAATGCAAAACTATTAAAGGCCAATCTTTAACAATAACTGTCTCTAGGTAAACCAGACTGTAAAGCTCCCATTGGCCACAAGGTGGCAATAACATTTCAAAAGTCATTCAATCATGTTCATTTTCCAGATTATTTTTGAATTATAAAATCAGGAGAATTTCAAGGAGAAAAAGAGGTCTCTATGTGCCTATTCTCCACTGTTCTCTGATGACTCTGTGAAAAGCCCATATCTTTTCTTTAGAAACAGACCAGACAGGGTCACTAGATTTCATTTAATTTTGACTCTTATGAAAAACTCAAGTCATGTTTATAATCATGTCCACATGGGAATATAGGTTCCATAATCCCTTGTAATTCTTCCTAGTCCTTACATTTTCAAAAACTCAGTAATTTCTTTAGCACTTCTGCTTGTGAAGTTGACTGAAAGTTACACTGATATAAACTTGACGCAAAGAGATCTCAAAGCCCACCCCATAGTGACTTACTTTGTCCAGCAAGACCACACCTACTGATATTGCCACTCCCTTAGGGGTCCATTTTCTGTCAAACCAGAACAGAAATGCACAAAGGGCAGTTTAAACTTTATCTGGATGACAATAGTAAGCAGTAATGGTTAACCTAAAATAGATCCACTCTATCTGTTATACCTGAAAGGAGGGTAAAATACACTGACCAAAAGCAATCTAGCATTTTGAAGAAATTAAGGTCACAAGACTCTTGTCTTGTTTTCTTAGAGTGTTTTCTCAACCACTCAGAATTCTGCTCATGTGACTCCATTTCTGGATCATGTTCCAAAACAACACTATGCAAAATTACTCTTTGGATGGAGAAGATGATTCCATATTGTTATTAATCAACACATTGACATTGTTTCAAAGAACTTCAGACCAAAGAGAATTGTGGATCAGGAATATTTGTCATGAATAAGTAATCAAAGCCTAAAAACTTGAAATTCAATGAAAATAACGTATAAGAAGTTAATAAATGTAAAAGACCAAAAGCATTTAAAATATAATAGTGTTAAAAGTAGACTATTAGAACTGTCAAAATATGTTCATATAAAATATTAGTCATTAATAATGTGCCACTCTTCTCTGAGATTGAATTATATCCCCATGGGAGTATATTAAATATTTTCATTCATCATTAGCTATCTCATTTGTCTAAAAATCTCTGCTTAGAAAAATGATGATTATGTTCAACCTGCCTGAATGTAAAAATAAGCACAGACTCTGCTGTCACAATCTTCTTCTCAGTCTCACTAGAGTTCTCAATATTTACCCTTTCTGATGTCTTCATCCATTTTTATGGGAGGTATTTACCTGTGTTATATTTAAACATAAAAAGATCTATTTTTAAAATTTCTCTTTTTAAATTATAATAAAATTGCATCATTTCTCCCTTTTCACTGTTTCTCCAAAACCTCTTATATTCATTCTCCTTGCTCTCTTTCAAATTTATAGCATCATTTTTATTATTGTTGTTACATACATATATGCATATTATATATATTTATACTCCTAAATATAATATATTTAGTTTGTAGAATGCTAAATTTGGTTCTAGCAATAAACATGATATAATCTTTAACAGGTTCTTTGGAGATTTGAGGGCAAAATACCAGACACCTTAGGACCCAATACCAGAGTTTACAAATGGCTCCCCCAGAATGACCTTCTAGGTAAGACACTCAGAACAAACATATCCTAGTTGACTTCAAAATCCTTTATATTACACTTAGTGAATGTATTATTTATTAAAAACAACAAGTTCTGGTATTCAGTTGATCGCTTTTAACATTCATTTTCTCATAGCTACCATGTACCCCATGTGTTCATCTGTAAATTAGAATTTCATAGTTCAACTCTCAAGTACAAAGCAATTCTGCAAAATATCTCTCTGCAAATTTAGTTTCTTCTCACTGTGAGAGAAGAAAATGTTTCATCCAGGTCATGAATTCTAGAATCTTCACATAGCTTTTTTGAGGATGAAAAGTGAGGTGAAACAGAAGTTGTATGGCAAACTAAATTAATAAATTGAATTAAATAAAATTAATCTTCATGTAGAAAATCTTTCAGTTCCTAATACTGCACATTTCTCATTTCATGTCTAAAAATGCTAATAAATGTCAACCTGAATTCGTCTTATTCTAGGTCATCCAAAAACCAAAGCCTTTGTAACTCATGGTGGAGCCAATGGAATCTATGAGGCGATCCATTTTGGAATCCCTATGGTTGGCATTCCTTTGTTTGGAGATCAACATGATAACATTGCCTACATAGTAGCCAAAGGAGCAGCTGTTTCTTTAGATTTCAGAACAATGAGGAGGGTAGATTTGCTCAATGCACTGGAGGCTGTCATAGATAATCCTTTGTAAGTATACCTTTTGAAATGTATATATGTTGGTATTTGTTTATCATTAATTATGATTCTCACTGAAGTCCTAAGGAGCAAGAATTATCCTGAAGGCAAAAATAATGGAGGTACAGAGACAAATTAGCGTACGATTCAGTGTCAGAGGTTTTTTATTCCAACTTTTATTATTATTATTTTTTATTTCCATGTTGTGCTTTATATTTCTTAACCATGTAAATTATACTTTTCCTCAATGTGTAATCCTTCTACTTAATCCTCCAAGCCTCTTGTCCAACAGGCATATGCCACCAGCTATGGACAATTTTTAATTTCAATTCTTTTAGTAAAGTAATTGGTCAGAGTTTAAAGGATAGTATAAAACTTAAATAGCCAATAAGTAAAGTGAAATAAAATATTGATGGGGAGAGCCATTTATTTGTTCCTTGCCACCTACACCTGAAATAATCACACAGAAATTATATTAATTAAATCGCTGCTTGGAGCATTATCTCTAGCTTTTCATTGGCTAACTCTTACATCTTAATTTAATCCATTTCTGTTAATCTGAATATCACAATATAGCAGTGGTTTAAAGGCAAAGTTTCAGCTCATCTGTCTCCAGAGTCAGCTCCATGGTGTTTCTCTGACTCCACCTTCTTCCTCCCATGCTATAGGCCAAACCATTCCCTTATTCACTAACCAATAAAAGCAACATACAGTGACAGAAGAACCTCCAACACCATTTTCCCTTTTCTGTTTAAACAAAAAGGAAGGCTTTAACATAGTAAAATGTATTAAATAAACAGTCATCAAGCAAGAATTATAGTGGTGTAGGATGTCCTTCTGTTTGTGTGTTGCTTTCATTGGTTAATCAATAAAGAAACTGCTTGGCCTGATAGGGCAGATCTTAGGTAGGCAGAAAAGACAGACCTGAATGTTGTGAAGAAGGGCAAAGTGGTAGATGTCATAGATCCCCTTCCTGAGATGGATGCTGGTTAGAAACTTCCCAGTAAGCCACTGTCATGTGACAACACACAGATTAATGGAAATGGGTTCAATTAAGACACATGAATTAGCCAGTAAGAAATTAGAGCTAATTGGCCAAGCTGTAATTTCATTAATACAGTGTCTGTGTGATTATTTAAGTGTAAGTTAGCTGGGTGGCTGAAACAGAACAAAGTAATCTCGTCTCCCACCATTCCCCCTTTTCTGTTTAAACAAAAAGAAATGCTTTAACATAGTAAAATTACATTCAATAAAACAGTTCTCAAGGAAGAATTATAGTTACAATTTCTCTATCTACTTTATCTTTTATCATGACTAAGGAAAACTATAATTATAAATTCTTCAACTCCATCAAAGACTCCAGAAGGATATGACATTGTCTAAGTAAACAGGAGGTGCAATGTAAGTAATTTCTAAAACTGTAGAATTGAAGGGACATCTTGCTGCCTAGAAGTCATCCAAGGTTCTTCTGTATTGTTGGGGCATCTTTGGCCTACAGGCCCATAGTACCCAGCACACTTTGTCATGAAGCAGGAAATCTTAAAGATACTTCTGCCTATATTGTCAGTTTGCCAGTAACATTATTCTGTGTCCTGCAGAATGTCTGGCAGACTCTTTCATGTAGCAGCAACTCCAAAGAATCATCTCACCTTTAGGCAAGTTCAGCAGTCATTTCTCTGCACATCCTGCATGTCCGTTTATGTGGCCACACAAGCATAGTTTCTTGCCCAACTGACTAGCAAACTTCATTAGCAGCCACTTTGATGCCCATCTTTTTCTTGTAGTAGTTTGTGCTGCCAGGTGGAGAGGTATCTCATTGTCATGAAAAGTCCTAATTTCTTAAAACATTCAAATGTCATTTACTGAAGATCTCTGAAAGATTTGAAGAATTCCTAAATGAAATCTCTCTCTCTCTCTCCATATATATATACTATATATATATATATATATATATAGTAACATGACTACAAGCTCGACTATTATAGTTGACTATTAACCTATATTTCTTACTTATACATTACATTATTAAATGAACAACACAATCACAATACCTTAATCAAGAGCATAAATATACATATAATTAGTTTGACCTTAGTTTGCATCAATAACTGAGATCTACACAAGTGAAAATCTCTATAGCATATCCCCCTTTAAATATAAAGACAAATTAATAAATAATATTTAGGAATTTGAAAGTAATTTTTCTCCAAACTGCTTCCTGCTTTTTATTGGACAAAGTAATTTTTGAGTGAAGTTCAAAGCAACCTTTCAGGGCTTCTTGGTCTATCAACAACACCAGTCTGGAAGCAATCCATAGGTTCTCAACCTCTGTGAAAACAAAAAAAGAACCTCTTTTCTATGGAAACACATCCTTAAACTCAAATTTGCAAATTGTGATACCTCTATAATATACATGCTGGTTTAGCTTAGCAGTCCATACAATGAAATATCTCTCTGTACTTAGCTCCTTTACAGTCAAAAATATCAAAGAAAACATAATAATTTTACATTATCTTTATGTGGCTTATTTTTCTTTACTCCTTTTACTCTATGACTGTCTATTCTGTCTCTTTAAAGGTTTTGTTTTTTATATGATTTCCTTATTTCCAACTCTCTACACACTTTTCTGTCTCTCTCCCTAGGCTACGTGCATTTATCCAAGACTGTGATCCATTTAGACATCTTTTATTTCTGAATCTGTCCTATTTTGTATCTATAATTCTTTACTGTCTAGGTGTACTTCTTAAATTGTTCAGTGCTTCTTAAACTTAAACTGCACCATTACTCTGGTATATATGGTATTATCTGCTTGCCTGCCCAGTCTAAAACTCAAGCTTCACAATTACTATGTTATATATAGAACTAACTGCTTGCTTGGAACAGTCCAGCATGGCAGAGCTGTTTGCTGCTTCTGAGAGCCATGCCCACAGCCCCATTCTCAGGCACACCGTCAGTCCATGCTGCCATTAAGCAAGTTGCAGCAGTATGATCACAAACCCTATCCAAATATCTGTCTCCCAAAAGAGCTAGGGATCACAGTGCCAGCAAGACCAGAAAGCTGGCATTTCACAATGGTCACAACAAAATAAGGAAATCCTCTTGTAAGGGAGCTGCAACACACTGCCAGCAAACAGCAAGAAACTGTGTTAAACTCTATATTTTTGTGTATAGAATTCCTTTTCAAGCTTCCTCACATTTTACATGAATTTTAGTCCACCACACTGACACCAATTTGTTGGAGGGGAGAGCCACTTGTTGGTTCCCAGCTGTCTAGAACCAAAATAATCACACAGAAAGTGTATTAATTAAATCACTTCTTGGCCCATTAACTCTAGCCTCTTATTGGCTAACTCTTATTAATTTAACCCATTTCTCTTGACCTATGTCTTACCATAAGGTCATGGCCTACCAACAAAGTTTCAGCACATCTATTTCCAGTGGCTTCATGGCATCTCTCTGACTCTACCTTCCTTCTCCCATCATACAGCCTAGGTTTCCCTGCCTAATTGTTTTTTTCCCTGCCATAGGCTCAGAAGGTTTATACATTAACCAAGAAAAGCAATACATAGACAAAATGAACTCCCACACCATTTCCCCTTTTCTAGATATAGAGATGCTGGAAATTTGCTGGTAAGCCACTGCTACATGATGATATAAAGATTAATCGAAATAGGTTAAATTAATGTGTAAGAGTTATCCAATAGGAAGCAAGAGCTAATGGGACAAGAAATGATTTAATTAATGCAGTTTCTATTTTTGGTCTAACCTACCTGGGTGACCAGGTACCAACAAGCAGACCTCCTTGCGACAATGAAATATTAGAGGTAGTACCAGATATCGTACACCTAGAAGTCACAGGAACATATTACAACAGAGAAATTGACTGTTTTGAAAGAGATAGGTAACTTTATGAAAGTTGTAATACATCAAAATAGCATAAACATTAACATAAAAGTAAGTATATGGTTAGATATTTAAATATGCAACCTGTCTTAGGATAAATTTAAATAAGGAGAATTTATTACTATGAAATAAATGAACATGTGGATAATTATTTTTCTTTGATTACAATACCGCTATTCCTATAAGCTAATGCACATTTTTTTGCTAGCTCTAATATCTTAAATTAACTCATTTCAATTAATCTGTGTATCACCATGTGGTTTGGGCTTACTAGTAAAGGCCTGATATTTATCTCCTTCAGAGGTTTTATGACTTCTTTCTGACCCTACTTTCTTTCTCCCAGAATTCAGCTTAGTTTTACCTGCCTAGATCTGTTCAGCCCTGTCTTGGGCCCAAGTCACTTCTTTATTAAC